GAGAGAGAGAGGCAAAGAAGAAACGATCCTTTTTATCAGTTAGCTTTTCAGTTATGTGTTTGTTCATTCTTTTTCTTATTAATCCTTTTTGTTTTCACTAGGTAAAGAACTAGTGAAATATCGCACAAAAACTCATTTTTTTTTTTTTTTTTTTTTCCGGCTAAAACTTTTATTGAATCAAATCAGCACAAATGTTGTTGTATAAAAAGTATGGACAGGAATGGAACAAACTCCAATCTGTCAATATCGCACAAAAACTCATTTTGTAAGAATAAATATATCACTTTTATAACTTATATTTTTTTTAATTTTACTTTGGATTTTTTTGGTCAAAACGTAGATTGCATGTATTTATATTCATTTGTAGATAACATTAGTTTCAGATTATAACTAAAAAAACTTCATTACCAATTACGATATACACATTATATTAGTTTATGTAAGTTAATTTAAAGTTATGAATTCACTTTAATATTTTTAAATCAATTAAAATAAGCAAACATATTTAAATGTAGTCATTTATTAATTTAATAAAGTAATTTTTAAGGACAAATATTGCATTCATGATTTTTTGAAACAATGTAAAAAATATGTACTTCGAAAACATGATTACATGATGACTTTAAAAGATCTTGTACAATAGCATGATTTTTTGAAACAATGTAAAAAATATGTACTTCGAAAACATGATGACTTTAAAAGATCTTGTACAATAGCATGTTTTTTTGGGTAAATTTCACACATATTCTTCTTTTGTATGTTATTTGTGTCTTATGTAAAATTAAGCATTTCCAAAGAAATGATTTTTGATGAATTTTAAACAATAAAACTCTCTGTTTCCTAACATATTTGAGATTTTATGTTTTTTGTTTACGTGTTGTTATTTTAGTTGTGAATTTAGGGCTGTTCAATATGGTAATACCGAACCATACCGAACCGAACCAAACCGTAATAGAGAATATGGTTTGGATTTGGTATATACCATATAAACCGAATGGATATGATTTTATAAAAACCGTAGGATTTGGATATGGTTAGGTTTATAACTGATTAAACCGAATAAACCGAACAAAACCGATTAAAGAAAAAATATATAAATATATACGTTATATAACCATTTATTTTCTTGGAATAGTCTTTTTTTTAAAAAAAAATTCATTCCTTGTGAAGATATATCTTAATAATTTTATTTTATTTTCTTCAATTATTATCTAAATTTGATTTGATTTTGCATGTTGTAATAAATTGTGAAATTAGATTGTACCATGTAATTTATTTGGAAGAACAAAGAGAAAATAAGAAAAATGTACAAAACTGAATTATTTGTCGTTTTGTTTGTTGTTAATTTCACATTTTTATATTTATGAATACCTAGTAATATTTTAATAAATGATATTTTGACAATATGTTTTTTTTTTAAATTCATATAATATGAAACCAAATCAAATAATAATGTTATTTGGTATAAAACCGAATAAACCGGAAACCGGTAGTATAAATACCGAACCAAACCAAATTAAATATGGTTCCAATATGGTAGCTAACTTTTATAAACCGAATAACCGAAAACCGAAAAAAACCGAACCGAAACTAGACCGAACACCAGATTGAACATACCTAGTTGTGATAAGAGTAAATTTTCAAATAGTTAACAACGAAACAATGCAATAGTTATACCAAAAGTTGCAATTACCAACAATTATAATAGTTTGTGATCAAAGATTGCAATGGTCCACGATTAGAAGATGCAATCATCAACATTTGCAATTTTTCATCAAGACAAATGTAACAAAAAAAAGTTGGATTTGGTTTCCGTGAGAGAAAAGATAGGTGCATCTGTTGAGGAATTGCGTTCTCGTCAATTCCACTCCAATCGATTCCGGCGAACTTCACGGACCAAGAACACACATCAATTTACCCGGTTCGCGGTGTTAACTAACCGCTACGTCCGGTTAGGACCGAAAGGTGTTAACGAACCTCTCAGTCCCCAACTTCCATAGATGAATGGAAACCACCTCCGACGGGGTTATACACGAAGATCACTCACCACCGATCACACTCTAATCGGTTTTACAAGGTAAAGAGAATCCTAAAGAAGAGACTACCCAAGACCCAAGAACATACCACCTCTCTGTATTTCTTCTCTCTTGATCTCTCTCTCTCTCTATCTATCTGAAGCTTGGAGCTCCAACGAAGAAGATGATGACGTCTCTGCAACTCTCGTCACTCTGAAACAGAAGACTTCTTCTCTTTATAAGGGATCCAGTAACTCGCACATGCCTCTCACCGTCTCACGTGCTTATGATATTACCCATATAATGAGACCTTCTGGTTGAGCTAAAGTGTTTGCCACACTCGAGCTAAAACCGACATCTTCATGCTCCAATCTTCAAGCTTCTCTTATAACTTCAAGTTGAATCACACAGCCCTTAAGATATCTCCTCTAGAACCGTCATATCTCTTCTCTGCTATGCCATCCTCTAACACCTTTATTATGTAGAGAAACCACACCAGACTTGGTGTTTGTATACATTCTGTCTCAGACCCAATCAGTACCTCTTTCTGATTCATTTTCATTATTCAAGCATGCTTTGAATGTTGTTAAACCTCACGTGAGTACTTCTCTGTTATCTTTGAGACGAAACCTTTCTTGTAATGCTCCAAAGACACAAGTAAACATTACTTGTTCTTTACCCCAATGCAGCTTGTCGCTTCTGCTTTTCCATTCAGTTATGAATGCCTTTCAGTTGCTTAACTTCTCTGAGATGACCTGAACTTCTTTAACCTTTAGCATTGATACATACTCTTGAGACTCTCCTTGCAACCTCTACAACCAGTCTCTTTCAGTTTCTCTTTCAAAATAATACTGAACCATTCAATGTGTCCTCATCTCAGATACTTATACCACCATCTCATTATCATCTGAGATACCTGCAACTATCCACTAGATGTCTTTACCACCATTAATCACTCCTGTGACTAAACCTGTTGACATCTCTTCTTGACCTTTGAACTTTGTCTTCCTTCAGATTTGCATCACCCTTGAAACCTATCGAAAACCAGTGACTCTTTCCCTATCACCTCTTTTCCACCGTGAGCTAACCATTATGATTTCTGCATCCATCTGAGTTCATAACTCCACCTGCGACCAAACTTCTACTAAGTAGTTTTGCAGTTCATTTGCTTGCAGAAACTCCACCTGAAGCTTGAATCCGTCAAAGCTGCATAGATTTCTCTGACTTAGCTCCACCTTGAGAGATAATCATCACTGTCTCGTTCTCTAGTCATGACATGTTGCTATATAATGTGTCCTAGACCTCATGACACATATTCCTTAATATTGCAGACACTGCAACAAATCTGTTTATATCAGAAGATCCACCAAGACGCTTCCTTGTGCCACTTGACTTGAACTGACTTCACTGCTACGGCCATTCCCTCTTTGAATGACTGCACATGTTATATCCCTTGACATTAAGTTTCTTCCTTGTCACTCTGAATCTTGACCATTCAGAACAGAACTTCTGCTACCATCTCATTTGCTTTAGATGCTTACGAACCGACATCTCTGGACGTCTAAGAAAACATTCTTGAAGCTATCTGAAAACCACCTGAGCATTGCCTTGGAACTTTCTAAGCAGAACCTTAACCTTGAGTTTCACGTCATATTTTAGCTGACGTGTAAAGCATCCTCAAATCAGACCACACAAAAAAAAAGCTTTCTTTAGCGGTAAGTTTGATGGACGAAGGAAATAATGTCGCTGCCTTGTGGAAAAATATCAATGACCTTACAGTATAGATCGAGGATGAATACAGAGTTTTTTTTTTTCTTTCTGAAATCAAGACATACACATTATTAGTCACTACGTACCATTAATTATGTTCCAAATGGTTCAAATCTAGTACTTTAGTGGCAAAATGAAATCGTGACAAAAAAAAAGTGGCAAAATGATCCCCAAAATGAAATACAGGTTGAGTCAATTGAATAAACTAGTTATCTTGCATCTCTTTCTATGTCTTCGCCATGTCTTTTGATTAACTCAGACAAAGTTTGTTTCTTTTGAGCAGCCTTCAAATTCTGGAGCCGTCTCTTTCTGTATCTCCAAGCTACTTGAATCTGCGTAGCTGCTCGTAGCCTGCAGTAAGGAGACTCGTACCTTATAGCTCCTTGGACTCGATGGCTCCGTAAGAATCTCGAGAACAAGCTCGTTACGTCCTCAAGGTCTGCTACGCTCAGAGAAAACGCCTCTACGTTCGTCACGCACGTAACATTTCTGCTGCTAAGCAATCTCTTGGATGGCATCCTTATCCTCGTCCCATCTGCATATTTACCATAATCAAAGTTTTTAATCAAA